CGGGGACCGGGGCCCACCCCGCCATGGGTGCCGGGACCACCGGGGCTTTGCCGGCTCCAATCCCCATGTCCAGAGCTGCCCTGGGGGGCTCTGAGCCGCTTCCCAGAAGAGGATGCTGCCTTCATCCCAGCCTGTCTGCCCAGGGAGGTTTGGGGGTGCATTGGGTGGGGCCTCTTTTACCGGCGCCACGGTTTCTTTTGCAGAGCTGCTCAGGGCGGCCCTGAACAACCCCAGCTCGGTGCAGACATCGCAGGTGAGCCGGGACGCAGGGTGGGGGATCCCACGGGGATGGCACCTACCTGGGATGGGGCACCAGGGCAGACGGAGCACCCCAAAAGCTGGGTGCATGGGTGCTGACTGGGCTCTCCCGTCACATAGGTGGTGCAGTATGAGCTGGGCTACGTTGTCTGTGCCGCGGTGGCTCTGCTCTTCATCGTGGCTGTGCCGGCAGCCGGGATGTGCTTCTGCTACTGCCGGAGCCGCCGGCGCTGCGGGGGCCGCCTGCGTGCCCACCGGCGCTCGCTGGGCTGCCGCCGCCACTGCCTGCTGGCCTGCCTGTCCCTCACCTCCCTCGTCATCCTGTGAGTCCCCCTCACCCCAGGGTGGGGGGATCCATGTCCCATGGGGACAGGGCTGGGAAGCTCTACTGGGCAGCCCCGTCACCGCCTGCTTGTCCCCGGCAGGATCAGCGTCATCTGCGCCTTCGTCACCAGCCAGCGGGTGAAGGGGCAGATGGAGCCGGGGCTGGGGGCCGTGCCGGCCACCCTGCGCACCCTGCGGCAGCACATCGCCAATGTCCCCCAGGTGGGTCCCTGAGGAGCCTCCCCTGGCCTGGGGTGCAGCTCAGGGATGGCTGTGTTTCCCTCACGGAGTAATTTGGGAGGCGAGAGGGGCAGCGTGGCTGCATTTAAAATGTATTTTGAATGGCAATGTGTGGCTTCCTCCCCTCGTGGCGGCTGCTATCCCCAGCTGACCAGCTCCTCTCTCCTGGCAGGGGGTGCAGATGGTGGTAGACCAGTTCGAGGTGCCCCGACAGCAGATAAACTCTGATCTGGGTGGTAAGCACTGCGCCGGGCAGGGGTGGGCCCCATCCTGAGCTTCCCACTGGGATGAGACGGTGACGGGGTGCCTGATGCCTTGCAGGGCTCAGCCGGAGCGTGGGGGTCTCCATCCATGCACAGCTGAAGGCGATGACCTATGCGGCGCTGGCGGACCTGCAGGACAGGGCTGGAGGTACGGCTGAGCGTGGCTTTCCCCGGGGCCGGTGCCGAAGCCTCGCCGGAGAGCCGGGGCAGCCGAGCGGAGCAGCGTGAACTAGCCCTGGGCTTTCTCTTTAAGACCTACAGACCTCGCTGCACCATTTACAGATTCTCGACAAGACGGCGCGGGCGCTGGCATCGGCACGGGCTGAGCTGGAGCCGGTGCTGCGGGAACAGCGTCGGCGCGTGGTCACGCTGCTGGACGACCCGCGCTGCACCTCCTGTGCCAGTGTCCTGGGCAGGGCACAGAGCCTGGAGCTGGGTGCCAACTATGGCAAGGTGGGATGGGGTGCTGGTTCCCCACCATCATCACCACCACCACCCCTCCGGCAGCTCTGAGGCTCACGGGTTGCTTTTTCTACCCCAAGGTGCCATCGGTGGAGAAGGTTTTGAAGGCGCTGGCTGGTCTGCCCCGAAGCGACTTTGCGGAGATGATTCGCCAGGTTGGGGGTGTTGGGGTGCAGGGGGGGGGCGGGTCTGGTGCCTGTGGGCAGCCCCGGCTGAGGTGCTCAGCACCCCCTCTTTCCTTGCAGGGCAATGGCACCTTCAACTCCATCCCGGAGCTGGCTGTGGAGAGGATGGCACAGGTCATCCAGGGTGAGTGGGATGGCTGGACTGAGTGGGGACCCCCTCCATGGGGTGAATCCCAATTTGGGGACATAGAGTGGGACGTGGGGACCATCCAGCCCTCCAGCATGGCCTTGGCTTTACAGATCTGCGGGATGAGATGGCCCACATGACGGAGAAGGTGCAGTCCATCGCCAATGGCTTCCCCCTCCCTGACTACACCCGGCCCGTCAGCGAAGCCCTGGTGAAGGCGGAGGACAGGGCCCAGCCGTACCTCCGGGAGGTGGAGCGCTTTGAGCAGTACAGGTGACACCAGGGAGCATGAAGGGGTGCAGGGAACGCGGCAGAGATGGGTGCCAAGCTCCGCTCCGAGCCCCAGCTGGCACATCGGCCCTGTATCTTAAGGCTGTGCCCTGCTGCTTTTTCCTCCAGGTGGATCGCGGGGACGGTGCTGTGCTCCATCATCCTCCTCATCCTCACCTGCAACGTGATAGGGATGGCGCTGGGGTCATACGGGCTCTCAAAGCGGGAAGACCCAAGCGACTACGAGTGCCGAGGAGAAGCTGGCGCCAAGTTTCTCCTGGTGTAAGCATCTCTCTGGGTGCTGGGGGGGCTGTGGCCGTCTCCCCCCGCTCCCAAAACAGAGAGACAAAGCCAAGGGAGGGACCTGGAGCTGGCTGAGCGGAAAGGCTTTTGAAGCCACTGCCTGCGCCGGCGGGTTTGGGAGAAGCTGCTCCTCCCTGGGAGCTGGCAGCTCCCTCACCCCAGCCCCGCTGCCCGGCACACCCCACTCCCGCAGGCTCTTCCCAGGCAGGCCGGCGTGCCCAGGCACGGGAGGGAGCCATGGGGCTGCAGCCGGCCAGGCAGGTCCCCACAAGCCTTTCTGCCCGCTCGGGTCTGCAAAGCTGCCGCCGGCACCTCCTCTCCCTCTTTCAGCGGCGTGGGCCTGGCTTTCCTGTTCTCCTGGCTCCTCATCCTCCTGGTTTTCGCCACCTTCCTGGTTGGGGGCAACATCCAGACACTGGTTTGCAGGAATTGGGTCAACCAGGAGATTTATAAGGTGGGTGGCCACGCATCCACCCATCGCCCCACAAATCTTTGCTTGTGTGCACCAAAATGCCTCCAAACAATCTGCGTCCTCCCCCTAAACCCATGCAGAAAAGCCCCATCCTAAACCATATGATTAAGTTTAGGATTAAGTCCTTAGATTTGCATCAGCAGCAGGGAATTGTCCTCCTGTTGTTAATTTGCTCAAGGTTAATTTGCTCCTACCTGCAGGACCCCTGCCCTCTGGTCATTTGGGGATCCTTGGGATGCTCGGGGCCAGCGGCACGCTGCGATGGGGTTGGGAGCAGGGCTGGGAATGGGACCAGGGCTTTATCCCGTGGCCGTACACGTGCAGGCAGGTGCCTGCATGGGGCTGCCCACAGCTTTCCCTCCAAACACCACCCGGCAAGGCTCTGCAATGGGGACCATACAAATAAAAGCCAGATTAGCTCTGGCTGGGATGGGGTACCCCAAAACACACCTGCGAGGGCAGAGCACCCCCAAAATCATTGCTGGGAATGCCTGTGCCTGACCCTCTTTTTCCTTTCATTTGGCCCAGTTCATCGACACCCCTGGGAACCTGCCTCCATCCATGAACCTCACCCGCCAGCTCAACCTCAGGAGGGATTCCAACCTCAGCGCCGTATACCGGTGGGTGCTGCAGGAGCTCACCTCTGCCCCTATACATTGGAGGGCTAATCTGGGGTCATGCCACCCATGCCCCTTTGCTTTCCAGGGAGTGCAAGAGTGGTGCAGGGCTGTGGGAGGTGCTGCAGCTTGAGAGGTCCTATGACCTGGATGAGCATCTAAGAACCCCCAAGGTGAGGGCTGGCTGCAGCCAGAGCTTCTGGTAACGGTGTGAGGATGCACGAGATTTACTGGGGTTACTGGGATTGAGCTGCCTGGCCCCAACACTGCAGCATCCCCTGCGTCCCACCCCTGCAGTACACGGCTGATTTCCAAAAACTCCTGGCCGACTTCACGGCGCACCTGGGTGACGTGCGGCTCCTCCGCAGCGAGGGCAGGCAGGACCTGGAGAGCTTCGCCCGCAGTGGCATGGACGAGGTGGACTATGGGCGCTTCCAGGAAGAGGTGAGGGGATGCTTGTGGGGAGTTGGTCCCTGCTGTGGTGGGCAGAATGTGGTCCAGCCACACCACAGCTGGCTTCCAGGGTTGGATTTGGGCAGCCACCAACTCCCATCTTCCCTAGATGAAAAATCCCGTGGTGCAGACCAGCCTCCCTGGCTTGGCGAGGAGCCTCGAGGGGCTGCAGAAAATGCAGGTGAGCAGAGGGGTGAGCGATGGGGGCTGCCTGCGTGCCCATGGGGATGTCTTCACCTCACTGTCCACCCACAGAGGAATGGCACGGTGGCAGGGCGGCTGGCCGCCGAGGCCCAGGCCCTGTGGGAGATGCAAAACTCCACGGTGCAATCGCAGGAGGCTTTGGTGGTGAGTCCGTGCTGGGCTGGTGGCTCACGGTGCTGCTGTTGCTTGCCCAGTGGTGTCCCTGTGAAAGGGGCAGCAGGGCTTTTGCACCCTTCTCATCTCCCTGTCCTGCAGGCAAAGCTGGGGGAAAGTGTCCAGTACCTCTCCCGCTTGGCGCCACACCTCCAGGTACCTGTGCAGTTTCTTTTAGCTCTGAAAAATATGTGGTGTGATGGGAGAGCCAGGAAAAATGCCATCTGGGGAGGATCGGTCTCCATTAGTGATTAGATTTGCCGCGGCAAATCAGAAATCCCCCTGCAGCACTTGGGACATTTCAGTGTCCCCGGGAGAAACATCCCACGGTGTTTAATCTC